GAGTAGCCCATACTATAACAATAATAGCTAATGGCTTCATGTGTGTGTGTGTGTGTGTGTGTGTGTGTGCACGCGCGCGCGGTGCGTGCGCACACACGCACGCACCAAACACATTGCATGATAATAGTAATACTTTGCATGAAGCAAAATAAAAGAATACTTATTAAGGAATGGCTCTGTCTAAAGACATTACTCATATTAACTTAGTCTTCACAGAAGCACTTAGAAGAGACACAGACATGACAGTGAAAGCTAAAGCAAATTGTCTCAACTCATGTAGCTAGTAAGTCAGAGAAGTTGTAAGTCAAACTCAGGCTGGTAGATACTGTAGAGGAAACTCCAAGCAGCATCCTCCATATTCTCTTATGCAGTATCTTTTACAATTCCTTTACTAGTCCTAGGAGGCCAGAGCTGTCCCCTTTTACAGAAGAAGATTCCATGGATCAGAGACTTAGGTTTCCATTAGTGAACAGGGTTGGAAAGTAAATCTGTTCCTCTGTTAAGTCTCATCTTGCAACCAGTAGAGCAGCTATATAAGTCAGAGCTATAGATGTAAGATAAGATGATTGCCTGATTGGACTGTAGCATTTAGCTTCAACTTGTCACCCATGTCCTCCCTTTAGTGAACATAGAGAAGTAAGGTCTAAATCCTTAGAAACAAACATGAATGAAAAGAGTTTCACCTTGTCTCTCCAATCTATCCACTTCACAGCCAGAACATAAGGAAAGCACTTACTCTTTCCAAGACCCAGTTTTCTCATCTATAAAAGGAAAATTGAAGTTCTTACAACATATAACTGTTCAGACAGTAAAGAGTTAATGACTCAGGTGTCATGAAGTTAGATCCACTTATAATCCTAGTTACTCTGGAGGCTGAGATCTGAGGATTGCCATATGAAGCCAAGCTAGGTAGGAAGGTCTATGAGACTCTTATCTCCCATTAATCAGCAAAAAGTTGGAAGAAAAAATGTGGCTCAAAGTGGCATAGCTTAGCCTTGAGGAAAAAAAAAGCTAAAGGACAGTGATCAGGCCCTGGATTCAAGCTCTAATACCAGCAAAATCACACACACACACACATACAAGTTAATAGAAGCTATTTATTGTAGTAACTTCATTAAAGTGAATGACTGTGAATGGCTGTCAACACTAGTTCTAGTTCTTCTTCCCATTTTCTTCCTGCCCCTCCCTTGGCACAAAGTATATCTGCTGCTATAGGGGTCATCAAAGCAAGGACAGGGAGGGTACCATACCCAGGTAAAAGCTACTTTCAATTGCAACATGCATTTTCCAAGGGGAAAATCGTTCTTGCATAGATTGGTTAGAAAATGAAGTCTTAAAAAATTTGTGAAACAGCTTTTTACTTTTGAAAATAAAAAGTACTTTTTTCAGCTCCTGAGAGCAAAGTGTTCCTTATGTCTTCAAGAGTACTTAGCAAAATGATAAATGATTACGCATAAAACTAGCCAAAGATTGCCCTTTGGGTTTAAAAGATAATCTCTTCCTGGAAAAAAAAAATACATTGCATGTCTGATGGCTTGGTCAGTACAGAAGAAATAACCATCTCCTTTCTGCCTTCAAAATAGTTAGTTAGATAAAGTGGGTAGGGCAGGCCACAGGTTTTGGTAGCCCACCACTATTAGTTTCAATAGCTGTAACCTAGAGCTATTCAGGCTTGTTTTGCTGCAATCCAAGATGGTTTGTGCAGGCTTGTTTGTCTCTTGCTACTCCTTTAGAGATGAGGGCAGAGTTATGGACTGATTGTACTTGTAAAAGCCTCACATCTTTTTATAGCACTAACCAGAGAAGCCACTTCCTTTGCTTCTGGCTCTCTTGAATCAGAGTTGCAAACACCACTTAAGACCAAACTAGAAATCAAATATTATTCCTGATAATAGTTTTAAATGCTATTTATTATACTGGGTAGTAAGTAAACACTTCATTTACATTAGCTAATTTAATGCTCACAAAGAATCATGCTTCATGACCTTGCATTTTATAGATGAAGACATAGGCCTGTCACTTCTCGAGTTCTCATTAGTTGAAAGTGGCAAGGTTAGGGCTAAGAGTTGATTTATTTTTGACTCAAAGGAAGATGATGCTTCCTTTGGAAAAGGAAAGAGCTTTCTGAATTCTGATGATTGCTGCCATTTGGAAAGATAGCCAGTGCACCATGGCCATACTGAGTTCCCATTCTCAACATCTCTTAGCAGTTATGAAAGAAGAATTTGGAGACGGCAACTCTGAAAAGTAATTTTGATGGAGAATAAAATGTAATGGTTTTAAGATACTTTTTAAAAACCAAAACACTGTTTACACACGCCAGGTTCATGTTGTCTTAGCATCAAATTTATAAGAAATATCTTTAAGATCAGAAAGCACATACATCATGATGATAGAACCACAGAAGTATTTTCATGGAAGAGAAAATTTAAATGAATTTCAATGAAGAGAAAAAATGAGAACACTGACTGCTTTCATTGAAAATGAGCTACATTTGAAGAATTACTTTGCAAGCCCCTGGATTTCAAGTTCTAATAGCTGTCAGACAGCATTGTCATATTGTGGAGGAAAATGTGCTCACTTTCTGCAGATGTGACTATTTCTGGCACTTCTAGCTGAAAAATTACTTGTAAAGAATTAGGGAAGGGATAATACGGAAGGTCTTAGGACTCAGGAAGCACTTTCTCCTGGGTTTCATTAACTGTAATGAGTCAGATCAGTTTGAGGCCTTCAGATTTTGTACATAGTATATTTTATTAAAGAAAACATCTATAGGGTCAACAATAAGAAAAAAAAAACCACAATATTCCAAACTTTCTGCATCTGCAGAAAAGCTCTTAAAAATAGCATACAGTCAGGTGCTGGTGGTTCATGCCTATAATCCTAGCGACTCAAGAGGCTCAGATCCTGACAACCACAGTTCAAAGTCAGCTCAAGCAAGAACTCCAAGACTCTTATAGCCAATTAACCAGCAAAATGCCAGAACTAGAAGAGTGGCTCAAGTGGTAGAGTGTCAGGCTTGAGTGAAAAAGTCAAGTGAGAATGTAAGGCCCTGAGTTCAAACTCCAGGACCAGCACCCAAAATAAAGAAATCAAAAAAAGAAAAGAATGAAGTCCTTTTCAGAGGCATACTTTTGGTGGCCTTTTTTCTGCCACCAAGCACTTCACATGGGCTCATCTGAAAAGTCCAGTATATAAGCCATACTGATGTCCCCTTGTTTTGTTTTTTTGTTTTTTGTTTTTTGTTGGTCATGGGGCTTGAACTCTGGGTCTGGGTGCTGTCCCTCAGCTCTTCAGCTCAAGGCTAGAGCTCTACCACTTGAGCCACAGCGCCACTTCTGGCTTTTTCTGCTTATGTGGTGATGAGGAATCGAACCTAGGGCCTCATGCATGCAAGGCAAGCGCTCTACCACTGAGCCACCTTCCCAGCCCCTTCTTGTTCTTAATGAGATCTGAACAAGGAAATCATAGTACCTTTTGCATTACAAGTCACCGTGGAGATATCATGACCTCTAAGAACTGAAAATGGCGCAGCATCCTTACATGCAGAACTCACTGTCCCAGATGTTCTTTTCGGGAAAGAAAGGGAAGAAAGCGAAAGCAAGCAAGAAAGAGAGAGGGGGGAGAAGGAAGGAAGGAAGGAAGGAAGGAAGGAAGGAAGGAAGGAAGGAAGGAAGGAAGGAAGGAAGGAAGGAAGGAAGGAAGGAAGGAAGGAAGGAAGGAAGGAAGGATTAGGCTCAATCCTTGCTCTCAAGGAGATTGCCATCCAGTGAGAATACGTGGAATTCACAAACAGGAAGCCAGATGCCTTAACCAAGTCTGTCTGAGATTCTGTTTCAGGATCCTACTAGAACACTGAGTAATATTGTCAGTTTTTGAGTGTGATACTCTAGGAGTAATATGGACCATAACTGCTAGAAAGGTCTGAGGATAGAGGCTGCTGTGGATGAGCATATGCTACAGCCCACTTCCCCTCCAAGAACACATACTTGACCTTGTAATTGACCTCTTGTGATTTCCTCATATTCCAAGCAATCTGCCTAAACTCTATCAGATAGTTCATAGGGGCAGTGTCTACTCGACTGCAAACATATACACATTCAAAGCATCAGCTCACTGAGGCACTTTATTCATAATTGTTTGAGATTTAATAACAGCAGCTTCCAGACCAAATGAGCAAAACAAGCATTTGAATTTCTTTTCATTAGGATTTAATAGCATTTATCATTCTAAAGTTTAACGGAGTTGACTCTCTTGTACAATTGCATTGATAGAACTTCTTTCCAGATCAGCATGGTGATAACTCTAGAGATAAAGTAGCTGCACTACGTTCCCTACTCTAGCAACTTCCTGAGGGCACACTGTGTGCTAGTCTTTGTGCTGAGACCTGGAAGAGGAATGACACTCACTTTGCCCTTGAAGATTTCTCTGCTCTACAGGGAAGACAGAAACCTAGAGCAGGATATTTTATTTCACTTTAAAATACAGTCTTCTGACTGGGTCCTGGTGGCTCACGCCTGTAATCTCAGCTACACAGGAAGCTAAGATCTGAGGATCGCAGTTCAAAGCCAGCTGGGGCAGGAAATTCCCTGTGAGACTCTTTATTTCCAACAAACCACCAGAAAACTGGAAGTGGCACTGTGGCTCAAGTGGTAGAGTGCTTGCCTTGAGCTAAAATGCTCAGGAACAGATCCCAGGCCCAGAATTCAATCCCCACGACCATCCAACAAAACAAAACAAAACAAACAAAAACCTAGTCTTCTGCTCCAGGAAGGTTGATCATCATAGATTTATGTGAGAAAGTTTAAAAGGTGAAACAGTCAAAGGATTGGAAAAGTAGTAAGTCAAGCCCAATGTAAGCCATGGCAATATCAAGCTTTCCCTGTGGGAACAGGAAGTCATGAATCAGTTCGAGTGAATAAGTGTCATGTAGAAACCAGGATCCCAGGTTGCCAGAGCTTTCTTTCATTCCCCCATTAAATTAAAAAATCTGGACTTTTGAACATGCAGTCTCTTTCCATCTTTAAGTGTCGGCAACGAACCTAAAAATATTTTGGATCATTTCAAACAGGTCAACCCTGAATGATCTGTGAGCCATGAACTGGCCATGACTTAGTTCACTAAGTCACTCGGCTTCTCTGGGCCTTAGTTTCTTCAAGTAAGAAATGGGATAAACGTCTATTTTTGCAGGCTATGACAAATAATCCAGTGAGATTATAAATGGGAAAATGGTTAGGAAAAATCTGTCTTAAAGTACAAATAATGGGACTCCTAAGACATACCAGCTCTACTTGCTTTTGTCTAAGCAGCTCATTTGAAATCAGAACAACAGCTCCAATGGTTTAAAACAGATGCTACATGTCTTTTCATGTTTTCGTAAGGTGAGCTGAAGAATTGCTATATAGGTAAGCTTATTTGCAAGTGCACCAGCTTCCACATGATATAAACACTGTGTTAATGGATTTTGAGCAAATAATAAAACTACATTCATGTGCATCTGATTTGGTAATTATTTAGAATCATATTAGGCCCCATCTTATGCAGAGGGCATAATTGGCCTTTCTCAGAACCACAGATTAGTACCTTTGTTCTCACGATTCAAACTGAGAGAACTCGATTTTATAAATAGAGAGATTGGTATTGTCTCCACATCAGTTCTGGGAAGTGTTTTCAATCGTTCCGTTTGGGACACCTCTTTAATTTAATTCTGGGCATCTTTACTTCTAATCACGTCACCCAAGGAACACTGACAAATAACACTGCAATTTCTAATAAACAACTGCACAAAGGCCAGTTAAGCTGAAAAGCCCACTATGAATTTAGATGTTATAGCTCTGCCAAGTGACAAGTCACCACCAGTCTTCAAGTTTTATCTCAGCTATTGTGATTGTCTATTTTACTGGGTAGACGTGTGTAGCTCTATACAGATTTACTATGTGGTTTCAGTTTACTGCTCCAAATTCCGAAATCAACTCTTGGACATACTACAGAAATCAGAACAGGATATAGTATTTTCCTGTCGCCCAAATTACATATTTTGGGTAAGATTGTTCGATGGAATGTTTGTTTTGAGAATAATGTAGAGTTTTGTTTGAAATTTTTGCTTTTGAATGACTTGCTTCGGAAACCCTTGTTACCTTAACTCCATCATGTTTTGTATCCTTCCCTGACTGTGTAATCAGCGTCTGAAATATCCCATTCATTCTTTATGTAGAAATTGAACTGGATTACAGGAAAAAAGGAAAAATTTGTACTTGAAAATTTCCACAGATTGCGCTTTTGTAGGCAAATTGATTTGTGATAAAGAAATGACATATATAATGTCAAACCCTTCCACATAATACAAAGTTTTCAGCGAACATATCATGCCAGGAAACAAATCAGGTACCCTTGAAGCGGTGATTTTGTTTCCTTTTTTTTTTTTCTTTTTCAAAATCTGTAGATAGCTCCTCTAAAGAAGAATAGCTCCTTTGGAGACCTCTGTGTGTTTCAATTCTTTCATAACAATTCCTTGGCCACTAATTTGCTTTCTTGGAGAGATGACTTTGAAACACCACAAAAATAAGCTATCAGGTATGTAAATGGATAGAAGTCTTAGAAGCATTAATAAAATGACTTCTTGAAAAAATTTAAAGTCAGAAACAAAATCTCTGTGGCCTACTAATGTAAAATCTTTTCATAAGAAAGGCCAGGCAAAAGAGCTGTAAAGTAGAGATCAGAATCTGACCTAATTCTTACGATTTTGCCTGTTCTGATCTCATGCAGAGATAACTGAACATTTCTTCCAAGTGGGACAATATTTGAAAAGCAACACAACACCTCTTAAAGTATAAATTGAGACCACAACAAAATGCTAGCTATCCATGTCATAATGAACTTCATATTCACATTTTGAGAATTGTAGTTTTATATTTGTTGTATATGCACATCACCTGAATTAATCAGTCATACTGACCCTTTGTCAAAGTGACAGAACCTGAAAATGACACCGAAATAAAATATCTACATGAATAGTTATGTATCCATGTAATAGTCTGCATAGACACAATTTAGTAAGCATTATTCTCCAAAAAGAACTTGCTTTTCTTTTAAAGAGAAATATTAATTCCTAAAGTAGAAGGACAATAAAACAATGATTAATACTGAAAAAAGGTTCTTTCTGAAAAATATAAACAATACAAATGTGATGAAACACATTTATTGATTGCATTTTAAATATTCCTGGACCAAGCCAAGCATCATTTATAAAACATGTGAGAGAGAATCCCAGGAAACAAAAAGCAAAAGTAACTTTCCTTTCCTGCCTTTAAGAGGATACCTCAGTCTATGCTAATCATTCCACTGGTGATAATAAAAAGAAGTTACAAAATTCAATAATCTCATTCTATTTTCATTTTGAATAAACAAGAGGCATAGAAACTTGTCTGTATTGCCGTATTTTAAAGTAAAATTATAGCTGTCTTCCAACACTACACAATTTATTGTACCTGAATAATTACTTCACTTGAATAAAGTCCATATGTTTCAAATAAACCCGAAAGATGCTTGGTTGTTTGTTTTTTTAAGTCTAATTCTCCCAGTTAAACAATATACTAATTAGTCACATATTTCATAAAAGTTACAGGGCTATAATAGCAGCTTGTAAATTGCCTTGCATTGCATAATATATGATTTCATAAATCATCCTCAAGCATAAAACAATGGGAAAGATCCAAGGCTGGATTAAAAATTAAACTATAAAACACAGTTTCAGCTTAATTTTTCATTTTATCTTTTTCTTCTTAAAAAAAGAAGCTATGGCTAGACATCTAAAAATGAAAGGAGAAAACATTTGCAGTGGAAAGACAAGCCATTTTGTGTAGATTGCAGCCATCTTTGGTAACAGTCCAGATTTTCAGAGAAAACAGGATCATGTAGCCACTGATTTCCATTTTGAAGAGGAATTATTAGCTAACCAACCAGTTCAGATTTGATTACATATGAAAGGTCTCTATTTCACATGGAAGAGGGAAAGGGCCATGGGATCAGGGTGATGAGAAAACAACATAAATAGCACTTACTCAATCACTAACAAAATTAGAACTGGAACTCACTTTCACTCCTAGGTAACATCACAGCAGAAGAGGCATTCACTTGTGTTGCATATATTTATAACTTCATTAAAAAGTGTTTTTCTTTCTCTCTCTTTTCCTCTACAAAATTTCTTTACCAAAGCAGAAGTGAGATCACATTCGCCAAAACATACACTTTGAAAATCCAAAACATGCTTTCTTTTCTCATTCTGCATCCTGAATTCTGAGAGCCATGAGAAAACGGTCTCTAAGTTAGTTACTATTTGTCATCATCCCCAGATTCCCACGTTCTATATGTCCCCAATAAAGATTGGTGTTTTCTTCATCTAGACACAAATACACAAATGCGAAACTTCTTACATTTTCCAAGTATCATTTACAACAACAGAGATGAGTTTCCTTGAGATAGAATAATTCAAAAACTCAATAAAAAATGAAATGAGAATACCCATAGCATTCTAAGGAGACAGAATATGTGAATTTTCTTTATACTATTTTTTTTCAAATAAAATACAGAGTTTTCCTTGCCATGAAATTCCAAAGATGGGACTTGTTACCAAGAAGAAATTCCATGCTGTTATCAAAGCACTCTAACCCAAATAGATCAAATCATCCATCTAACTTTTTAAAATAACAACTTCAAAATCATGTACATCATAATTATACTAAAAAAAACTTCAAACTTCATTTCAGTTTTAGGCTCCAAAACATCCTAACTTCTTTAATACCCTGGTGCCCCCTTTTGGTGTAGCTAGATCAAGACTTTTTTTTCTCATATAGAAATATCATATACACTGTATGTATTCACTCACAAGGCATAGTGTTTAACTTGGGAAATGTCGATTCACACTGCAGATGGCTCATGGTTATTAGAGCTTTTGTTCTGTCTTCACTAATACCAGTTATTGATCTAAAACATGTGCAAACAAACAAAGCTAACTCTTTGAGTGGGGAAGGAAAAGCGTCCGTTCCCTCAGACAATTGGCAAGTACCGCTCAGATTCCTGAGTTCTCGTCCCAGTCTTCATGGTAAATAAGTGACCCGTTACCTTTGCTACAGGACATTCAATGGCTCACTGACGGCTGCATTCAGAAGATATTTTTTTTTGTCCTCGATACATTTATGCTGTATGTCTGTCTATCATCCTGAGGAAAGAAAGGCTGGTGAACATGTATACATCCCAAAGTCCAAGCATGGAGATACAGGCTAGCAAACAAACTTTCTCAAAAGGGAAAAGGAAAAGTTAGCAATTTCAAGACTTTCACAAGAATTTAAGAAAAGGGAAAAACAATAAAGAAAGAAAGAAATATCCTTACGACTTTTTTCATGTTAGAGCTGGTAATTATGCCTCAGAAATAAGTTCTTTCCACGTTCAACAGCAGTGTGTGAAGAAGACGAGTTGATTTCCAGCAGGGATATTGAATCCTTCCATCTGAAGGACCAATCAAGTGTGAAGTACAGTATAGTTTTAGATTCAATTGAAAGGAAAAAGCTTGACTAGTAGTTCATAGCATGACAACTTTCATGGATTAGTTCAGACCCTATTCTCCTCCCTGAAAGGGTATCACAGCATGAAGACAGTTTTCAATGCGCTAAACTTTAATAGCTGAGTGGGGGAGCCAAAGCTTCCCTTTGGTCTCTATAGAAACAGTAGAGCCAAAATTTGAGGCAAAATTAAGGTCTTTGGTCTTAGGTGCTGTATCTCCACTCTGAGGTTTCTTTTTCACAAACAGACTTTGGTCCCTATCAAATGTTCCGGGGTTGGGTGGGGGGGAGTGGAGGGGTGGGAGAAGCTACTGTAAAACCTCCTTCATTATTTTCCCCTCTGAAATCCACACTGGCGGCCATTTCAATGAAACACCAGCAAGCCAGATAGATGTGTGGTGGCCGGTGTGGAAGGCAGGTGGAGTCATCTCAGAAGAAAGGGCGTGCGGCTCTT